CACCTTGTTGTGCTGCTGCCTCCTTCCTGAGTGCCTGCTTCTTCAGCGCCTTGTGAACACAGTGGCTGTTCTCAGCTTTTGGCAAGATTGTTCTTGCCCAGCCCAGGCGCGAGATATATGGTAACCCCACATTTGTATGAGAAAATGGGAGGTATGGCACTGCAGGTGTGGCTACCGTGAAATGTCCTCAAAAATGGGAAGATCTGTCCTGGAGTCCTGGCATGGATCCTCTAGAATGTACCCAGGGTGGATTAGTGGGGAAAAAAAAAACACCACAGGAATGAGCAATCAAACAGCATTCAGCTTGTTGTGAAGGCAATAGCTTCACACGCACCAGTGCATTCAAGAAAGCCAGAGAGTCTTTCTCATCTCATGGCTTCATCAAATATTTGCTCTTGTGAAGAGCTAGGGCCCAGAAGGGATGATAGGATAACTTTATAGAAAAGTCTTCTTGGATTTTTTTGGTTTTGTTCTGGCTTTCCTGTCAGATTGATACTGTAGACACGTGTAATGCCAGCAGCATAGCAGATAGTTTGAAAGGTCATTTCCTTGCCTGCTGTCTTTGTCCTATGCTCCTACAGGCATTCTTTGTAAGCTGTTGATTTTTCATGGGTTTTCCAGGTTAGCCTCAAGACCAAGCTCGGGGCTTGCATATTTCTGCAGTTTTTCAGGCAACAAGGAGAAAGTTTCCACCTCCTTTGCTTTTCAAAGCAGTGTGGCTAAAGCAGGCGGATTGACATTGTGTCTCCTGACACCCAGTAAGCCCAATACATCTTCAAGCAGATCAGGCTAAGAGAGATGAAAGGAGAAAGTACAGTAATAATGCAGATACCAAACACAAAACACTCTTCAGTAGCTTATCCATATTCTAGCCTCATTTTTTTCACCCCCCTTCAGGAATAAACAAGTCTTTCAGCAGCAAGAGAAAAAAGGCTCACTAATAACAGAAACCTTGCCTCTGAATTGGCGGATGAGCTTCTTCTCTTAGTTTTACAAAGAGAAGCTCTGATCTGCTTCTGAGGAGTTAACTTTCTCCTCCTGAGCCTTTTTATCGGTGCTATTTCAGTAAGGCTGAGCAGGGTGGTAGAATCATTTGCAGAGAAATATCCCTGGCAAAGAAGAGCTTTCTTCCGTATAAACTCAGATTGACATTTTAAAAGGTCACTCTCTATTTGGGTGACATTTCAATCCTCCACTCATTGTAGTAGACTAAGTAAAAAGATGTAAACTGGGAAACATGGAGTCTGTATATATATATATATATATAAATGAAGATGAAAATCCAGTCCAGCAAAAACTCCTGTGAGGTACTATTCCTTACCTTGTATTTGCAAATAACTAGGAGCTTGCATACAATGCTACCACATTTCAAACAGGGGACAGTAAGTTCCTTTCCCCTAAGCACCAAATGCATCTCCAAAGTGCTCTGCAGGGAGAGGAACTTTTATTTATACAAGAACCACAACATTTAACTTTGCTGCCACATACAGGGCCAATAAGTTGTTGTTAGCAGCATTTCTCACACAAAGCTCTTCTGTTCTGCTAGTGTCAGCTATTGTTAAAATGGCTCAAGAGAAACACGAAATTCAGCTCAGTCAGTGATTTACAGCTTTAATCCGTAAGCATGCCGGAACGGCATGGTTTCAATCTGGACATGCAGATTGGTACCCACAACTCTCAAAGCCACAAGCTCAACAAGTCTAACGCAAGCAAAGACATGGGCTACTTGCTTTTGCTGCCTTCTCTGCCAAGGGGCCAGAAGGATACATCACAGCTTTAGAAAGCTGCCAGCTCTTCACATAGGTTCAAAGAAAACAGTCCAGAAACAGAAGAGCAGGGCTTCAGACTGCTTAAACCTGAAGGCTGCAGGACAGAATGGGGTGTATTGAATGCCAGGATACCTTTTTGATATCCTCTTATAGGATAAAGGCACGTTTTGTTCTTGTCACCAAACTGACATGAAAGAGCACATTGTCCTTCAAACAGCATAAGCACTGATGCTGTTTCCTAGAGGTGCTTGTGTGTATTCATGCAGTGCTCTGATATCTAACAAGAGGCAAGCCTACCTGAAGATTTACCCACAGTGATGCCTCTCTTGACAGCTCTTCCCCACCTGGACCTCTAGAAGCCCATCTTAGCTGAGGATGTTCCTCAGTCTCTCTCTTTTAACAGTACTTAGAAACCTTTTATCCTTGAAGGGCTCAGGAGTAATTCTTGAGCATCTTCCTTTGTATTCCTCCACTTGAACAGAATTAAAGGCTAGTTCGGGAGAGCAACTCAAATCCAAGCACTTTCAAATCCTCAGCATTTAGAACTGTCTGTGCTCAGAGATGATGTCAAACATTTGTAGCTTATTTTCAAATGGAATTTATCTGGATTTTAATTTCCATCTGTTGTTTCTTGTCACACCTTTATCTGCTGGTTTAAAGGGCTCCTGCACAGCACAGCGTTTTCTGTCTGTATAAGTGGGTATCCATTCTCAAAGCAAAATGTGTATTCTTGAATCTTTCCCCTTTGTTACTTGCAAGGTAACCCAAATGCATGGCACACTTAACAAGAGGGCAAGACTTAAGTTTCAACCTGGTTTGCTGTAAAGCATTAAAGAAAGGATTTTTGTTTTCATCTTGTTTTTAATGAGATAGGCTTGGCATTTCTAGGAAATGGTTAAGCTAATACTTCAGGATAAATTCTTGCAAAAAGTGAAGAAAAAAGCACCTTCTCAAACACTATAATTGCTGTATTAACCACAGTAAAATTACTAGGCTCCACATGATTTTTCCTTTTAATACCTTTTCAAGAATGTGTCTGCTTTTTACCTCTGCAACACACGGAGAACATAAGGAGCTGCCCATATTGGCTGTTAAGCACATAAGAAATAATTACCAAAATAATTACCAAAGGTAATTTTGATTTAGCCATGTTACAATTGGATCACAGTCTATGTACTACTAAAATGATTTTAAGCCTTGACTAGAATTATCCCTCAGTTTTCTGCCCACAGCCAAGCACCTAAATCTGTATTTAAGCACCTGCAATCTACCCTAGTCTGGTTTTCAGAGCACAGAGCATGTACCGTTCTCTCTGCTACTCAAGGAAGCTACACAGCCTCCGTTTCTCTGAAAATTATACTCCTCATTTGGGTGATTAAACCTGCAGACTTCAGTGTCATTTTTTTTGTTGTGAGCAGCCCTTCTTCACACAGGAAAAAAGGTGCTGTTTCTCTCAGGAAACCTGATGATTTACATGCAACATGGGATGCGCCTACAAATAGAGACCATATTTCCCTCTATACTTCCAGGATCCTGTGTGCCAAAGCTGTACACAGAAGGGGACAAAGCAAAGTTCTCAAAGTGGACGTTAAAAGTGCTAGTATGGATGTTTGCAAATGCCAACGTGAAACTTGCTTTTCCTGTAGACCCATGAGGACTACTCACACCTTGACACAGTGCCAGTCCACTGCCTTTGAGGGCAGAGTTCCTGAACTGACTGTATTTAATAGGAAGCCAAAGTAATATGGGACCTGGAAAATATATGGTCTACTGGACACGAGCTAACCAAACTTTCTGGAAACAAACAAAAAGGTGCTTTTATCCACTATACAAACCATTCATTAATGATTGCTACTGCTTTTTATGCCTCAGGAGCACACATAATGCCCAGACATTCATACTGTTCTTTTCTTTCTATTTGCCTTACATTCCAGAGTAAATCAGATCAACTCATAGGGCACTCATCCAGCCAAATTTGTGCTCCCTTGTTGGTCAAAGCACTCCATCAGTACACATATAAGTGCATATAAGTGGAGAGAATCCTGGCATTACTGGAAAGATGCAAGATGATAAGACCCAAGGGAGGAAGATCACGAGGACAGCGCTGGTCCTTGGGATGCCTACTGTGAGTTGCTCCAAAACTGCCAGCTCTTACATTGCTTACCAAATCAGCCACATGAATGGATGGCAGAACTCTTACTGCTCACACTGTCATTAGGGCATAGTCCAAAGCAATTGGAAACTGGCCCAGTGAATGTAAAATATTGAATGAAAAAAGATGGGTCTGTTACAGTACGGCTAATCCCAAGTGGTACATCTTCATTATTAAAGTTTTTAATAAAATAGCATCTGGAGTGTTACCCATATTGCAGCAAAGCTTCTCTTCTAACACAGGCTGAATAGTCTTATATGTTAAAGAATCATGAATCCACTGTCCTCCATTCCATGCTCTCTACAGTAAGAGATTCTCTCGTGTAAGCAGCCTTGCTTGCTGTTGCTGTTTTACTTCCACACAGACGTGCACTCAGTTCCCCACACTGCTGGCATTTCAGCTCTGACTCAGGGTCTCTTTGCAGCAGGCAGCTGAATGCCACACTCTGTCTTCAAGGTTTTCTTGACACTTGTGAGTCATTCGTCCTTCCCTGACCTTCATGAGGAAATCCGGCTGGCCAAGCTGTGCTAGCAAAGCTGCCAGCCTCCAGAAGGAAAAAGCTGCATGCATTCAAGAGACAATCTTGCATCTCGTTGTGAAATCTCTGCTAGAATCAGCATTTCCCACCTCAAAGAAAGCAATCCAGGAATAGATCTCATGTCATTAACATCTTATCCTTTTCTACCCCCCAGTGGTTTTGTGATCAGAATTTTAACCCTTAGCTCATTTTTCTCTCTTCCCACCTTTTCTTTTACATCTCAAAAACTTTCACAAAGAGAGGAGGAATATCTCAGACCAGCTCACATCATGGTTTTGTCACCATCCGCTCAGGACTTGCCAGCCCCCTGCCCTAGCACAGGCTTAAATCCCAGAGACTTCCACTGAGTCAAGTTTTCAGCAGGCACTTGCAGAGTTTTCTTCATCATGCACAACTTTTTGCAAAGCTGCCTGTTGCTGAGGTCTCGACACGACACTGAGCTCCATCGGTGTTACAGCTGTGAGGGAAATTCAGTCAGGTTATCCCGGGTGCTTTCTCGTGACATCTTACTACAAATGAGGGAAGAAGAAAGGACACCAGGTTCGTTCCTGCTTCTTTAATTAGTAACAGAACAAAAATGTTTGGACTTTTAATGATGGTATTACACAGAAAATATTGGCATGATGTATCGGATGGTTTTGTGTCCATGTTGTCCCATTTTATTTCCCATGTAAAAATATACATCTGGTACGTAAGATTAAAAAAAATAGATTTTCACAATAAAATAAGTGCTTTGAGCACTAAAAATCCACTTGCGAACTTGAGTGCTGTCTTAAATATTTACATTTTCTACCCACACCCCCCTTTCCCCTGGAATGGGCAAACCTCTTTTTATACATATCAACTGTATCTTCTGTATAAAACTTTCCCAGAAAAAGGCAAAGAAACACAAACATAACAACACTGTGGCTCAGACAATTCAACTCCCCCAGAATAATAATAATTAAAAAAAAATCCAACTCTTGTCAAAAGAACAATGTCTGTGCTGCAGTCGAGTAATGGAAAGACAATGATTTCTACAACCAGCATCTGCTTTTTAGAGCCAGGACAACACATCAGGAATTGTCACTTGTTTTCTGGCATGTTTCTTTCCCTCACGTTGGATCGCAATTTCTGAGTATGGAAGATACTCAGGTAGACTGCTCATCACTCTGAAAAGTGGCCCACTTCACCTCCGTTTGTCACGGGGCCACTTTGCCATTAGTCCAAGTGATATTGGATGCATCTTAGAACATCCTGACGTCCCTTCTTCCAAGGATGAAAAATTTCCGGGGGTGGGAGGAGGAAAGAAAAGTCCCTTTGGTGAAGCACAAATGAGGGCAGAAGGAGAGACATTCATAGCTCATGGTTAAAAAAGGGACATTGGCAACTAACCCCATGGAGTCAATTGGGATCAAATGTCACCAGCTTTACGGAGCTGATCTCACATGTTATCATAGTTCAATGCATGTGAGAAAGGCAACAGGCATGACTCAGTAGTCAAGGTCACACCTGCTTACAGGGCAGGTCTCGCTAACAAAACATTTGGAAATTGATGCATCCGAAGACAAAGAAGAAAAAGGCTCTTCTGCAGTTTTCATAGTTCAGTTGAAATGCCCAGAGCAAGTCCTCGGGAAGACATCTCCCACTGCAGGGTTCTTGTCCCATTGAATGCTGAATGATCTTGCTGAGTATGCCTGCTGAAATCGCTTCAGTGGCAAATTCGTTCTGTCATTTCTTTCTGCATTGAAGGGAAGGAAAAAAAAAAGAACCAGTCAGTGCAAAACACAGGTTTTGGTGAAGCGATGTGCAAAGCAGTTTGATAGGTATCCAAAAATAATCCAAGGAGGTGGCTGTATGGAGTTCAGAGTGTTCTTGTTTCCCATGGTGGCCCTTTTGGGAACCTCTCTGCCCCAGCAGTTCCTTCCTGGCATGCTCCTTGGTCTCAATGTCAAGAGGTTAGTTTTAGTGTTGAGAGCAATCCAAAGAAAGGGCTGAAATGTTTGAGCTGCGTGTCCTGACTCAGCAAGGAGCAGACAGAGAAGTGGTGCTGCTCCCAAAGCCTGGGGATGCAAGGTACTCCCAGGAAGTGCTGTCTGTCCTGCAGGTGGTGACAACAGCTCACTGAAGGGGCCTGTGGTTCTGGCAAGGGATCCCATGGCTGCACTGTAATGCAAATGAGTGCTAATAGCAAAGGGCCACAGAAAACCTGGTGGCAACTCACATTTCTGGCCTTCAGTGCTGTTAGCTTGATGTCATTCTCCTGGGGTCTCCTCCTGCTTTGTGATATCCCTAATAAATAAGCAAGCCTTTCAGTATGAGCAGCTCTTCCAGTAGCCACTCAGGGTCAAACATCCACAGCCAGAATTCTCTCCTCTCACTGTCATTTCCCAAATGCTTCATCTACAAAACCTAGTCCTGAGCTACCAGTGTTGAACATCAGGAGGGACGAGATGACAAGAGTAAGCTCTGTGTAAGCTAGCAGGCTGCTTTTCTTTGCCAATCAGATTTTGGGACTGCTGGCAGTGCCAAGGTGCAGCCTTCCTGAGGTAACAGGTCAGAAGGACCACTTTCTGTCTTTGAAAACTGTTTGCAGTCTTCAGGACCTTGTCCCAGTTCCCCAGCCCAGCACTGCACTCAGCCCTCTCTGGTTGCAGGTCACTCTCCTGCACACATACAGGACATCATTGCTGAGTGGAAGGAGGTCTCACGGGTGCTTGAGGCTGCTGTATGATGTGGATTCCAAGCAGTGGATACCAAGCAATGGGCACACCAGGAAACAAGATGTACAAAACCAGAGGGAAGTGTGCCTCATTTCCTTGTAATTTAACCCTATTTGCATCACACAGGAAAATCCGTTCGTCTCAGAATCATCCAGAACCATAAATCATCTCACATTGCATGAGTGTTACTGGCACTGACAGCCTTTTTAGCAATGTCAGCCTCTGCTTTGGCTATTAGCTGCTAATTATTTACATTAACAAGCATCGGTCAAAGGAGATGACACTACTATGGGCCACATATCAATGTTAAAGAAGTTTATCATGAGGAATGGTTATGAGGAATAATAGAGCACACAGTGATGCTGAACTGTCATTTTCTGTGGCTGAAGGCCATTGTGATAACATAGGTCACAGTCACACTATATGAAGTAATTAATTAATTAATCTGCTGTTGTCATTCAGGTGTCCCCTGGTTGGATCATCATCCCAGCCTCCCAGATTGCAATCAGAGCAGAGGAGGCAGCAAACCGACAGAGAAAAAAGAAAGCAGGAAAGGAGTTAAAGCACTTAGCACTCAGGGTTAGGTGCATCCGTGGCACTTATAAACAGGCAGCTCATGTTGTGACTTCTCTCAGCTCTTTGTCTTTGAACTCTCCCACGCTGCATTTGGCCCTTTCTGCAGCCCATCCCTTTGCACAGCATACTAATTACTGGGTTCCCTATTACTGTCCCAACACAACAGGTTTCCATAGGCCAGATTACATTCAACATGGCCTGTGACACACTAGCTTTTCTTACAAAACTGCATATTTTCTAGTTTATATGCCAGGACTGCATATCTCTTCCCCTTACTTCCCCCCTCCGTGCTATGTCCAAGGTCTCTCACTTTCTGTTTGGCTAATTCCTTTAATTGCTTCCCAAGGGAGGCTGCAGTGCAACTCCTGCTAGACCCACATTAGCTGTCTGGAGCTGTATGTCCTGCACAGGGCAGAGTCTGACCCTGCCTGAATTTACCAGAGCTGTGTTCAACCCACTTTGGCATCCTTACCAAAGGCTCCAGCTCCCGATGGTCAACAAGGCTGAACTCCCTGATGAAGTAGTAAAAGTGCTTGTAGCAGGTGTTGACATGAGCCTCAGCACCCATGTTGATGATGCTATCAAAGTGGTGGATGTAGACATGGACAAAGACACGGAAGAGGCGGGTGAGGATCTTAGTGCAAACTTGCTGGAACTGCTTAGGGAAGGGAACACCTGCAAAGCAGAAGCAAGTTAAAGCCATTAAAACACGAAGAATAATGCCAGTCTTGAGGCTGTCATGTGATTGCACCTGTGCGATGCTCCCTACTGAAATACCCCACCAAGGTGTTCATGCACCAACATATACTTTTGGCTTTGTCTTGTACCAGGACACAATTTATTACTCTCTATTCACATCCTTATCTAGATACATTGTTACGACAGTGAAAATCTCAGAGGTGTAATACAGTCAGTGTCAGGAAACTAAGGAAAATACAGAAAACCTGGCTTTGAAGCCCCTGAATATACTTTTTGGAAGGATGAATGTGAACCAAGTGGAATTTGTTTTCCTGAAGGTTCTTTCTCCTCCCTCCAGCAATTCAATGCAAATTTGCATAGAGCAAAATAAAATCCTCCCTTCCCACGGTGCTACCTGTCTCCTCCCTTGGCTTCTTACTAATGCAGCACTTAACCTCTTAAAAATCTTTCCAAACAATTCCCATAGCCAGCTTGCACATCTCTTAGCTAAAAAAAATTCAGATGGTAATGAGTTTTCCTCAATAAGCACTGAGCTTATTGTCAAAGTACTTGTAACAGAAAATTATCTTCAGTCTGGAGCGATGTCACACTCAGCCTGGTCTCACCTTGCTTTGTGCAGAAGGCACAAGCTTGGGCTGCTTGTGCCATGGGTAGATGGCTTGGATTCATCTTTAGGCAGTTGTGCATCTTGGCTCAGCAGCACACCTACATGGAGAGGGGGCTGAGATTCATGGCCACTGCCCTGCATAACAATGAGCATCCTGCAGCAGGACAAAACCCATTGGAGTCTTTGACATCACCCTTTAGGATTCTAATAGCTCCTCTTAGGGCTTTCTGCCATGTACTTCTCCATGCCACTGATGAAGGATCTGCTTCTGCCCTTACCCTTAGCTATGGGGCTTACTCTGCATGACTGGTTGATAAGGACAGTGAGCAATCTGCTGGGCTTCCCTGCAGCCAGCAAAAACACCATGCTTTATCAAAGGCTTCATTTGAGCTTTCTGCACCGAGAATTTGCTGAGCAACGGAAAGCCCTAATCACCCAGCGGGGGCCTGAAACATGCCATTAGGGTGGCTCCTAAAGACCAGATCTGAAGAACTAGCCATAAAAATATTTCTTTTAATAAAGAAAAACCCATCATGGCAAGTAATTTGTCAGGAGTGCACGTTCCCAGGCCACAGCTGAGGAATACACGCTGTTCTGAACAGCCTGTCCTGAGACCAAGGATGAGCGGCTGCTGCCAGGAGCTCAGCAAGGTGCCAGCAGGCAGGGAGTGATCCACGTGCTCTCTCCAGTTTGTCACTGTCCTCTGCCTGATACCTTCTCCTCTCAAAGCAGGCACTGGTCTTGTATGGAGATGCATAGCAGCTACAGGAGCTGCTAAGCCATCTTACTCCTAATGATGAAACGATGTCATGAATGATATCACTGGGCTGCCAAGACCCAACAGTACCCTTCTGGACTACCTATTGCTGTGGCTTCAAATGAACCCAGCAGTATCACTCAGGGCGTGCAGCTGAGCTGCTCTTCCTTGTGTCCATCACAAGGTGTCAGTGTGTGCACGCCCTCTGCAGACGTGGCCCAGCCGCGTTGGTGACTGGCCGCCAACGTAGTAACCAATGGACTCCAGCAGGTCACCTCTCAGCCTATCATGCTGCAACATCACCACTGCTACGGTCCTTATGGCCCAGTGGAACACAAGGGAGTGGCTGGGGCTCTTTCTCCCCACATCACCTCTCTTGTACACATGAAGCATGTGGCCAGGACTGTCAGGCCCTGCTTTCCCTCCCCATGTTGCAGCCACGTCTGCTTCTCTTGTGACACTCTGTTCCAGGAACCTGAGGATGTGCTGTGAGCATCTACCATGGGGAAACATGGGCTGGGAGAGAGGTCAATGACACAGCTAGATCTGTACAATCTAGGAAAGGCAACAAAGTTAGTAAAGGGTCTTGAGCACAACTCTTACGGAGAGCAGCTGGGGGAACTGGGACTGTTCAGACTGCAGAAGACTCCACAACTCCCTGAAAGGAGGTTGTGATGAGATTGGTAGGTCAGCCTCTTCTCCCACGTAACAGCAATAGGATGAGAATAATGGTCTCAAGTTGCATCAGGGAAGGTTCAGGTCAGATATTAGGAAAAATTTCCCTCTCAGAAAGAGCAGTGATGCACTGGCACAGCTGCCCAGGGAAGTGGTGGAGTCCATTCCTGGAAGTGTTCAAGAACTGTGGAGATGTGGCATTGAGGGTCGTGCTCAGCAAGCATGCTGGGGATGGGTTAACAGTCTGACTAGATTATCTCAGAGGTCTGTTCCTTAATGATTCTATGATTGTAACTCAGATCATCTCCAACTATAACCTCTCCAGAGGGTTCCAGACAAGAGCCAGCCACCCAACCCCTGCCAGATGCATACACCTTCCTCCAGCTGAAATACTTGAAACATGGTCAGTGGGAATCAACCACATCCTGAGTCCCTTCTCCAACATTTCAGTCTCTTCTCTTTTCCATCCTCTGGGTTTTCTGAAGAAAGTCTCTCCCTCACCCTATGCACGTGCAGACCTCAGTCCACAGCCCACTACAGTGAGGAGGCTGCTGGCCCTCCTCTTTCTGCACAGCAGAAATGGTACCAACATGAGCTGAGCAGAGCAGCGATGCAAAGCACAGAGCATCACAAGTGCTGGAAGCCAGAGCAAGAGCTGTAAATACAGCAGGTTCTATTTCATCAAGGCACTGGTGAGCAATGTGACTCACTGCCCTAGAATGAATTAGCACCTTCAGTTTATCTTGGATGTTTTCCTTGAAACCCAAGGTGTGATTTAATACTTAGAGAAGTCTGTTTTCCACACTCTGTGCCGATCTCTTCAAAACATAAGGAAGTCATGTGGGACTGTGGGGAAAAGGAAATGAAAAGCGTCTGCACTTACGGGAAGGGAATACGAGTGGGCCTTGGATCCTCCTCACCATCTCTCACCCCCAGCCCTCATGCACAAGCCAATTGCATTTTTTCACGATGAAACAGTGCTGTGAAACTATTTTGCTTCTTTACAATTGTATTTGTCCTTTCCAAAAGCAGTAATTGAATGAGCTGCGTGATGGATTATTGTTTTTAATATTATTTCCAACATCCAGTCTGGTCTCTGGATTGTTCCATGATTCGTCTTTTCCTAAAAATAAGCCCTCAAATGCAATTTGAAATTAATAGTATGATGGCAGCTGCAAGCTGGTGTGGCATTAATTTTGGAACAAAACAGGGAGAAAATAGAAGACAAACTGAGTTAAAAACAGCCAGTTGAGAAAACTGCAGTAATTAGCTGAATTCTGAACATTTTTCTCTTGTTATAGAGAGAAAGAATTATGCATCAAGTTTTCTCTGCTTTTATCATTGTTTTGGGAATATGCGTGAACAGCAGAGTCTAAGCATAGAAGAGTTTTCCAAGAACCATCCCAGAGCCTGCTGCAAGTGATGTTCCTTCCAGCCACAGACAGGCTTGGCAGAGAGTACAGGGCGTTTCCAATGCTGGTTTTCATCCAAGCCCCACGTCTGTGCTCATTTAAAAATGGAGAGGTTTCGGCATACACGTCGGTGCTGACATAGCCCTGCAAACTCCATCCACCACAGTCTCCTCCCCATGTGTTACCAATGGCCGTGACTCTGGGTGCTGGGCATGCTCCCACTGAGACACTGAATGAAACTGAACGTGACTTCTGCCAGCAGGCTCCTGAAGGCACAGCAATTACTGGGGATGGTGCTATTGTACAGGTGGTAATCTGCTCACGAAGAGGTCTACTGACATAGTTTCACCAGCTGCTAAAAAATATGCCTGCAGAATCACTTATTCTTATCCCTCCACGGGAACAATGCTTATTCTGCATGTAGTAGGGTTTTGTTGTTTTTTTCAGCCCAGCTATGTTGGTTGGGAGAGCGGAAATGAGCACTAGAACATGCTAACTGATACGGGTCATCTGGAGGAGCTGGAGATTTATGACAGCCACGCTCCTCCCGTCCAGGAAGCTGTCTCATCATGACCAGCAGACAGACAGTTTTCCTTCCAAAGGATTTGTAAAGCCTTTCAGTGGGATTGAGCCCTGTGGGTGGATTTCCCTGGGGATAAGGAAGATGCCCAATCTCCTCCACCTTTCTGTCTCTGTCTCTGCTCGTTTCCAGCTGAGCCTCTGAACCCAGCATGAGAGATTTTCCCACTCTGACCCCAAAAACACCTCTCCCTTGGCTGCCAACAGTACTGTGACTGAGTCCCACTGAATCACGCGCTGCTCCAGGTTTTGTGGCTTTAGTGGGACAAGGATGCTGAGGTTAGCCCCAGACAGTGTTAGCAAGTTTGGGTCACACTTGGCATTTCTAAAAAAAAGTTTGATTTGTCTGTGATCAGGTGGCCTTAGCAGAGAAATCTTTGTCTTGGGACAGCTGCATTGCAGATGGCAAGGATGGAAATCAGCAGTGTGCCTGGGGCATTGTCCTCAAACTCTGCAATCCTCCCTGCTACATGGCGCCATGAAATGTGAGTCCAGCTAAGTTCCCTTATACAAATGAGAGCCAAGGTAATGGAGCACACCAGCAAGGAGGCCGAAGTCACTCAGGGATGCACAAAGATGCTTGAAGAATGGACTAGTAATGGCTTTGGAAAAGGAAAGATGTGTTTGTGCAACCAGAACAGCTCCCCTTACTGAAGGGGAGAGGTGATAGCTTTCTTTCACCAGAACCCACTGGCCAGCACCCCAGCTCCAGCCCCTGAACATCACCCCAAAAATACAAGAAAGCAGCTTAGCAGGAGGGGAAGTGTCAATCTCTACAGCTCCTGGACAAAGCAGGTAATCAGCAGAGCTCTTGGGATTGTAAAGCTCAGCAATACCAACAGCTGAGGTGCACCAACAGCTTGGAAAACTACACACGTTACAACAACAGCCGCCTTTAGAATCACAGCACACTCACCTATTCTGGTGGGGAAGATGTCCTCGTTGTTAATGAGCATCTCAATCCAGTCCATCAGCATACACATGTACTGTGGGGCTGACAGCTTGGTTGGCTTCTTGTACTTGCTATCGTCCTGCCACCTGTACTCATACTTGAGCCCACCCGACATGATGGGGCAGCTCTTCTCCGTGCAGTACTCCGACATGGTGCCGTAGATGAGGTTGATGCGGTTGAAGAAGTCCACCACGTGCACAGCTATCCAGTCATTGATGCTCTCGCCAGGAGGCAGCTGTACCACAGCCTTTAGGTCCAGCCCTGATTTGAGGGAGGCCTGAGCCTTCTTGTACAGCTCGAAGCGCTGTGTGCCGGGCTCAAACTTCTTCCGGGGGCGGAAGGTTTTGTCTTTGTTGAAGACTTGCTTCAGACACAGTGCCATCATGGGTTGGCCCAGCCAGCGTGAGAGCACCAGGGTTAGCACTGAGGATCTTCAGGGTTGGAGGTATCTGAGAGGAGGAGACAAATTTTGGTCATATGTACACCTGGACTGAGATGAGATGGCACCGGGATGCTGGGAGCGAGCTTCTTATCTCCAGGGCTTTTGTCCAGAACTACTGCAATGAAGTACAATGAAGTATGATATGAACAGCACTCGCCTACCTGTGGCCTTTCCTTCCTGGCGAAGGGGCTGTGCCTCTTTCCCAGAAAAATAGCCCCAGTGCCATAGGGACAACACTGTGACTGCAGCTGGCTTCTGGTTCACACAGCCCCAGCACCCGGATCAATGGGAAAAGGGGGGATTCTTGTTGTCGTTCTGCCTGCGTGTTTGTTCAGAAGAACAAAACCCACAGCCAAAGAAGGAAAACAGCGTCCAAGCACACCAGAGCCAGGATGTGACACAATGCACGGGAGCCAGTGCTGCCAGCGCTCCCCATGGCGCTCCGATTCCACAGCACCCCGGGAACAGGGGATGTGACCTGGAAGTCACCGCTCAGCAGTGCTGAGGTCATCCCTTCCTGAGGCTGCCAGTGCAGATGGGGTCTGCAGCATTTCCTTTTTTTCCTTCCTGAAGCTCCGGTGGAAATCCCGTGCTCTTGGACAGGTTGAAACGTGCACGTGCCCTGTGCCCCTCTGCAACGTTAATAATGGGAGAGCAAGGCCACAGTGAGCTCAACGCCCTGCTGAAATTTGGGGACGCAAAAGACCCCAGGCAGCCTCCCCCAGGGAGGAGGAGTTATAGGAAAAAAGAAAAAGGTTCAGAGAAAGGGGAAGTGATATACCCAAAGTCACGAGTGGGAGGGAACTGCGTCCAAGTGAAGCTTGGATGCGTGTTCGTCATTAAAAAGGCATCTCTTAGTCAAAAGCTTGCTGTATGAACTCTGCTTTATGAACTCAGTCCCAAGTCAAAAGCAAATCCTGTTTTATCCAGCAGAGATCAACCAACCACCTTGCTGGAGGAGCCTGGGCTGCCCCCAGAGTCTCTCCAGGATACAGGAGCTGTTCTGTGGGATTTTCCACATGGCATCATGGGAGAGCCCTGCCGGGTGCCACCAGAGGCCAGTGGGGACAAACCACAGCCTTCCCCACAAATACAGTGATGCGTTGCCACCATCGCAGAGCTTGGGAGAACAACTCAGTTATCCCTGCATTACGCTGGACCGATGCTTTGAAACATCAATGAAACATCAATTAAAAAAAAAAAACCAAAACACGGAGTAAGAACCCTGCTAAACACCTGCCAGATGTTTTCCTACTGTGCATCTGTTAGCTGTTCCCAGGAGTAAGGGAGCAGTACCCAGTGCTGCCCAAATGCAGAGCAGACCCATCCCCAGGCTCGCTGCAGCTAGGCACAGCTGGATAATGAGAGTGGTTTTGCTCCTGGGATCCCTGCCAGCTTCGCTACTGAATTACTGAGGCATTTAAAGGCCTCGTGAATCCGTACTGGAATCAGGGAGAAAAACGTTCTCCAGAAATTCAATTTAACGCAAAGCCAAGAACACATCCTGGGATTTACAACCAAAAGGAGCAGGCGGAGGCAATGTGCCAGGAACCAGATTCTTTCCTAACCTCTCTCCAAAGCTCTGACTGCACAGGGTCTGATGGGCAGGAAAATCCACTTGAGGCACAGGGAGCTGCAGGAGGCCAAGAGTGGGGCTTTCAGGGTACAGTCCTGCAATAGGAGCGCTGGGCGAGCTGAGGCAGCAGCTCCTGCCTTATGCTGGCACACCTCCCACTGCCGAGGGGCCTGGGTGGGTGCCTGCAGCTCCCACCTTCCGTTCCCATGTGCAAAATCAAAGCTCCCCCCCAAGCAGCCCTGGCATGGCTGCAGCCCGCTTTGCTGTGCTGCCTTTCCCATAGCGGGGCGGTGCTGGCACCCACAGCCACGCACTAAGGGCTCAGGGAGCCAAGTCTGCCCAGGGTTAAACTGTGGGGCTGAGCTGCTGCAGGATGGCAGCAGGCAGGGACATGCGAAATCCTGATTTCCTAGAGGGCTGGCAGGGCTGGGGGAGAAAGGAAACGAACTGGATAGGAGGGAAGTGAGTTCACGGTCAAAGGCAGCTGCTAGTTCCAAATCTGAGGAGGATTTTGTTTCTTTCATTTTAGGGTTTTTGTGTTGTTTTATTTTTTAAAAAGCATTTGAAATCCACACAACGCTGCCAAACAAAGGCTTTGTTTTAAATTAAGAACAACACTGAACAGTCTGTTTAGAAACTAGCAAAACAAAAGAGTGGAAAAAAAGCAAAGCAGGGAGAGGAGCTTCCTCTGCCTACCACAATCAGTCCCACCAGTCTGAGCAAAGCCACCGGGTCAGACCTGCCTTTGTGACCCCAGATTGGCTTCAGTCTGGAAAGCAGTGGGGAGGAGTGGTTGGGGCAGTGCTGAGCTCTGGGCTACAGCAGAGACAATGCTACACTCTCTGCCTCAGCTTCCCCAGTTTCAAAAGTAATTTCTCCCTCCTGAAGGACCTCCTGATATTAAGGGCTGCAAAAGCCAAGAGTTGGCTTCAGAGGAGAGAAAGTACTTTGTGAGTGCCCCTAGTGATTATTACTGACCAGGGTCAATGCTAACAAGGAGAAAGGCACTGACACTGCACCTCCAGCTGGCAGTGGGTCCGATGCCCAAACCAGCCCTGGATCCAGCCCGAGACGCTTACACACTTGCACAAACATCTGCCTTGGAACCACAGGAGCTGTCAGCAAAGTGCTGTGAGCCATGCTGGGGAGTACGAGGAGTCAGCTCAGCACCATGTAGCAAAGCTGTGGTTCAAAGCTGCCCACCCCACACATCCCGCTGTGCTTCCCCAGGTGCTCCCCCAGAGGCTGGACTCCCCCTTGGTGCTGGGGGGGAATGCCTTCTCTGCTCTGTGGGCAGTCCCTCTTGCCACGTCCCTGCATGGCAAGCCTGGAGTCAAGGCAGTGAGCCAGAGCCCTAAACAGACAGACAGCCTCCAGATGCCTGCTGGCCAGGAGCTCTGCTGGCTTTTCGCTGCAGAGAAGTCTTTTTTACAGAAATATTAAGGTTAGAAAAGACCTCTAAGATCATCTAGTTTAATCATCACCACCACGCCCACTAAACCACGTCCTTAAAACTCGGTTTTCAGCTTGTCCTGGAGCAGCTGTGCAAGTGGGGCTTCTTGGTGGTGGCCTTGCAGAAATGCCCCACAGCCCAACCCGGCCTGCCCTGAGCATCCCTCACAATGCAGGTGACACAACCCTGAGATCCAGCCTAGGGCTGACAGCATGTGGTGGCCCAGACTCGTTTTAGAGGCAGAGAGGTTGGTTTTAAGGGTTTAAATGCAGGAGGAAGATGCTGGGGGCATGGCTTCAGAGCTCTGGTCCCTCTCGCTCTCCTCACGCTTCCTGCTGGAGCCAAGTCCCAGCTGGGCTGGCCATGAGAAACAGGGGTTCTTGGCAGCTGATCCCAAATATAACCCAAACGATAAAACATTCCAGGAAACAAGCCAAAATGCGATGCTGGGAGAGGGATCGAGGGCCAGCACGCCAGACAGTGGGACTGCAGAGTCCCACCAGCCCCAACACAGAGTTAATCCGTGTGCTTCTGATATACTCTAGGAAAGCCCCCAGCATCTATTTCTAGAGGGACCAACTCCCAAAGGAGGCTCAGTTCCCTATGCTGTTGCTTCTCCCAGCTCTGCTGACACTCGGAAATCCCCACCTCATGCAAAGCAGACCCAGCACAATTTCACTAAGAGGACACACAGCCCTCTCATCCAACCCCCCCCCATGTCCCAAACCACAGCCAATCAAAGTCTCATCTCTCCAGTGCTGGGACACCCGGCACACTTTGGGGGTGATGCTGTTTGGGGTACCTTGTTCTTGGTGCTGCTGCCAACAGGGACTTGCTTGTAGCCAAGGTAAGTCCTGAGGGTGATCGTTCCATCATCACAGCCGCAATCCCAAGTGCCGGAACTCCAGAAAGACGATTGGAAGGACACGAGCCAGCTGCTGGAAGTGCATCCCCACAGCTTTCTCTACCCAAAACTTCCTGCCCTCCACTGGACAATAGCAAAGCCACCTCCAGGATTGCCACCAGCCCTAGGACGATAGTTGACCAGCCAAAACCCTGGGCTGCCTGCTCACTTCCAGCTATCTACACTAACCCACAGCTGCAAACCGGGATCCCTCAGCATTTACATGCTCGCAGACAAACTGGGACACCCACAGAACAGGGAAGAGCTCCTGCAAGCACCCATTTCGCTTCTCTTGGGTTTGCCCAACCTGCACTAAAAGCACCCCAGGAGCATCCTTAGGAATGCAGGAAACACAGCACCAGCTGGGACACCGATGCTACTCCTTTTTCCAGCCCCAGCACTCACCTCATCCTCAGCACGCCTGGCTGCCAGCACACAATCCCGCTGCACTTTCTGCGCTTACTGAGGGGGAAAAAAAAAAAAGAAAGAAAAAAAATTCAAAATAAAAGCCCAGAATCTGGCAGGACGCCCTGCAGCACAGAGAGCAGCCGCACGCTGACTGAGGTTTTGGTTGCAGAAAGCGGGGGCTGAGGGTTTTTCTCCTGCCAGTGATGTCACATCCTGACCCTGCCGGAGCCACAGCTGTCCCTGGGACACGCCGGCAGGCTGCCCTCCTGCAGCCAGGCACACGCTGGTATGTGCACATTCGTGTGAACATCTCTCTCCACTTGGCACATTGCAGGGTTGAGTGCCAGGATGGGCTGGATGCCTTCCAAAGGGAAAAAAAAAAATAATAATGAGAGAGAGAGAGAGAAAGAAAGAGAAAGGAAAAATGAAAATACCCATTTCCAGAGAGTCCACAGAGAAAACTAACTTCGGTTGGGCTATGAAGCACATCATTGGCATGGGGCTGCAGCACCCCTTCCCTGCAGTTGGGTTCTCAATCACAGATCTGACTTGGAGTCACGAGGATCAGAGCCAGCCTTTAAAGAGCAAGTCACCTGCAGACATCCCTGGTCACCAGCAGGATGAGGCTAAGGGCAGCTTGGGGCTGGGTGGCAGCTGGGGACACAGCGAGGATGTGTAGGGTTCACCTGTGGTTGTGATTCAGTCTAGCTAGGGGCATAGAACTGGCATCCATTGCAGCATGAGTTTGTGTAGAAAAGGTGACATTTGGAGGCGAAACAAGAGGTTATGACTTTAAGTTGCACCAGAGAAGGTCAAGGTTGTGCGTTAGGAACAATTTCTTCTCCAAGATACACTGGTACAGGCTGCCCAGGAAGGTGGTGGGGTCACCACAGGAATGTGGCACTGAAGGACATGGTCAGTGGGCACGATGGCGTGGGCTGGGGTTGGACTGAGTGATCTTAAATGTCTCTTCCATCCTCAGTGATTCTACGATTCCTCCCCAAGGACACAGTGGGCACCAGAGCCCATGCTTATCCCCGAGTGATACAGAGAACCATAACACAGAACATCCCAGGAGCTTGTGACTGAGAGGCTGGACATCATGTCTGCAGAGTAGATAAAGCTCCCAGTGCTTTGCGATGGACAGCACAGATCCCACAGAGAACCCACAACCATGATTTACATCCAAGCGAAACAGACAGAGCCAAAACACTGGTAGGCAGGCAGCAGCCAAAGGAGAGGGGCCAGGGGCAAAGCCCATCTTTCTGAAGGGGCATTTGTCTGCTGCAGAGGAAGGAAGAGGGCGGCCTGGCCCCGCTCACGCAGGCAGGTGCACTGCTGAATTTATCAGGGGGAAGGAAGTGGGGAAGGAAGTGGGCCTGGAGCGCTGGTGGCTCCAGGAGGCCCACGGGAGGCCGTGGGAAGAGGCCGCACTGCAGTAGGGCCTCATGCCAGGACACAGCTGCACAGCAGCAGGGCAGTGTGCCTCCAAGAGACGTCACAACGTGGCACCAGGCCATTCACGTCTCCTGGAGCTTTCCCTTCTGAGGCTGCACAGCCCCAGCCCTCAGCATGCCCTCAGAGGGCAGGTGTTCCATCCCGCTCTATGCGACCCTCCTCTGGAGGCATTCCAAGCGATCCATGTCTCTCCCACACTGAGGAAAGCTATTGCTGGGTTTGCTCTGGCCTTGCACCCTTGCCAACGCAGCTCACCTGGGATGCAAGGCTAGGGGAACCTCCAGTGTAACTCAGTACAGCCCATCATATTCTCAGTA